ATTATGTACAATTGATCCATTCCTGGTTGCAATTCTATGGGTTGCAAGTCCCATGAAACTGCGTAAAGGCTTATAACTGAAAATTATAAGGAACTTATTACTGAGCCTTTACAATGCATTGTAGAATTTGTTAGATAAATTGATAATTAAACAGGAAAGCCTGCCTGTGAATGCTAGGAGCAATGCCGCAAGTTACCCCACTGACGTGATCAGACCGTTTCTTGGTGAGGTTCATACTCATGGCATTACTTACCTCCTGCAGAGATAGACGGCCATTCAGGTGGTCCCCTCCTCCAGGAGAATGAGGGAATCCCATGGATTTCTAAATGCTCTTGTGGCTTTCCCAGTGGATAGAACTGGTGAACAGTGGGGTGCAGAGGGCTGTAGATCTGCTTGCACTCCTGTGTCTTCCCCAGTGCTGTAGAGGCTGCTGTGCCTCTTAATATACTGGAGAACTGTTGGCAGTGAAACGGAATGCATGCAGCAAGCATGCACAGGATACAGGACTCAAGGCAAGGATGCCGGAACGTGCTGTAGATCACAGAATCGCACCTCTTGCACTGTAGTGCACGCAGCTAAGACGACCGCTTGGCTGCCTGCATTACTTCCTTGGCTAACCATCCAGCAGAGCTCTTCTGGGTGCTCTGAGGGCCATTAATACCCTCCTCACTGGACAGGGCCCGACCCCCTCCATGAGGCACCCTGGTTTTTTGCATTGCAATTTGGGGACAAACTCTCTGGTTTCCTTAGTGACCATCCTTAGCTTCAGTCAAGGCCTCTAGTGCCACCACCTGCCCTATTACGTGGGCTCAGATGAAGTTATTGCGCTCCAATGGTGTGGGCAAGCTGTTTGAAGCAGTGCTCTCTCCATCCATGCCCTTCCTGCCCGAGAAAAGCTAGCTGAACGATCCTACCTGAGTGGGTCCAGATAGTGCATCTTTGTATGAAGGGGTGGTTCCTGCTTGGGAAGGCAGAAGTGCAACCACGCCAGAAAAAACACCTGCTCTGGACCCAGCCAGCTACTGCTCAGCAGCAAGTATGACTTTTTTTTAAAAGAGAATGCACTTTTAATGTTTTGCTTTTATTCCTTTATTTGTTTCATCCTTGTTCTGTTCACCAGCAGTGCCAGATTTACATATGGGCTGAGCGGGCTGCAGCCCAGGGCCTCAGGATCTAACTGGGCCTTGGCCTCCTGCCATTTTTTAAAAATGACCATTAATTTGATTTCATATGCAACAATAAAAATCAGGAGCATACCTAGGTAAAAAAAAATCATTTCCTAGACTAAAAAGAATGATCTACAGTCAACAGTGTCCCAAGACCGGTTGTCTGATCTAAGCATGCTCTGCATAGAAAAAGATAAATGGTGACTTACTGGTTGCCATGATATAATTGATAAGTTTGCATCCCAAAAAAGCTTGGAAGAAACTGCTCTGACTTTGTTTATAGTGTAATGCTATAACATAGCTATGACTCCTCTATAAATGTTCTGTATGAACATCTTCATGAAGCCCGTACTTTTGTAAATGCAATCTTTTTATCAGTGCTAAAATTCCAGCAATGTTTTACTTTCGTTGAGTAGAGAAAGAAGAGAATGAGATTTTGTTTCTTATGATCCGATTCTATTAAGTTTGGGCCTCCCAAGGTCTCCTATCCCAGGGCATCCAGTTGCTTTAATCTGGGGCCATTCACCACATCCGTTGAATTTCTCCAGTGCAGATTATTTTTGTTCCAGTTCATTTTTTATAATCATTTCCCAAAATTGGCCAAGGTCTTCACACTTAGGAATCAAAAGCTTGAGCTTCTAGGAATTAAGTTGAGAAAGCCAAACTGGCAGGATTTTCCCGTTTTTTCCCCAATAGTGTTTTTCCCATCAGTATTGTTGAGCCTGCCTCTGTCATGATGAATTTCCTGCGGCAAACAGAGATGATCCCAAGAGCAGGAGAACAGCGCACATGGCGACAGCAAGCAAGCCATCCTTCCATACTCTCCCCAGCATCTCTGACCTGGCATTGCTCAAGGGCCTTGGGGAGTGATTCAAAAGGCAACTCAGCCCCTTGGCTGCTGCAGGCACAGCTCTCAGAACAGGGCAAGGGGGAAAAGTCATCCTTCCATGGGATCACTTGGCCTGCAGCTGCACTGGAAAAGAGACGGACAGGTCTTTCTGATCACTCCCCAGTGCGCTGGCACAGTGCCTTGCCAGAGCATCGACAGTATGAGGACTGCCTCTTCCCTTCTGCAGAAGCCACATGGCTCTTCTTCCAGCAGCCAAGAGCGACATCAACTCAATGGATTCTCTCGGACCCCCACTCAGCCTATGCTGGCAACAGCAGCCGCGAGCCTTGCCTCTCCCCCTCTGGTTAGTGGCTCTGTGCTGACCTGGACGGTTTAGGACCAAAACTGATGGGACTTCAGCTTCCAGTATTCCTGCCTTTTGGCCATGCTGGCAGGTGCACTTGTGGAACCGTCTGTGCAGAGCATTCATTCCATCAGTCTGACTTTTGGGGGCTCTTCGGAGATGTTCTGATGGACAGAGGTGGAATTTGCTCTCTGAATTCATTAGGTGCATTATGCATAGCTCAGACTGGCTTGAGTCAGGCTCAGTCGCCCCGATCCATTTGTGCCTGCCCTCTCCTTCCTCCTCTCTGGGAAGAAATGAAGAATTTGGGTTTGAAGAACTTAAGAAAAGATGGGAGTGTGCCAGTTTCAGTTCATCCCAACTTATTAAAACTTAGTCTGGTATTGCAGCCTGCTCCTTCTCATTGGCAAGGCAAGGAATGCCTGCTCCAAAATAGCAAGGCAAATAGAAAGAAACACCGCTCCTCTAGATGCCTTCAGAATTAAATGTCAAAAAGTAGGAGGAAGCTAAGAAAGGAGACGAGGGATTTGGCACATATGTGTGAAAATAAATTTGTATGAACCTTTATTTTATCTCATTAGAAGATGAAGCCTTATCTCGTGGAAGCTGCTACAGGGAGAGGGGAGGGGAACACAAAAATTTCCATACCTAACCTGATAGTGTTACCACACAGATCTGCCTGGTTGGCTATTAACTATTCTGCTGAGTCATGCTCACTGCCCTGTGGGAAGCAGACTCTGCTAACCTTTTATCTTATCACCTAGAAAAATGAAAGTGGAGCCCAGAAAATCGTTACTTGCAGATGGTCTTTGGAGATGAGTGCTCTGGGGATATCAGAACATGGCATTAAACCTGTTGTTCCCAGATCCTATTCTAGAGGTTTGCCAAGATAAAACCATCAGGGTGGGAGCCCCTTCAGGACCTCCCCTCAAATGCACATTTACATAAATGAGCACCCCCAAGGGGTTGGATGCAAGCAGGATGATGAACCAAGATGTGTTTGAGAGCACAGCGTTTATTTGCGTGAGAGACTGTTCACAGTTGCAAAGGAAACTGTGGGAAGAGAGGTGCTGAGAAAGGGACCTCTGTGTTTCATCCAGAGCTGGCAAAGGAGACTGATGAATCTCCAAGGTGGGTTAAGAAAAGAGAAGAATGTGGAGGTAGTTCATATACTGAAAGTCAGCCACAATTCCCATGCTTACGCAAAGTCGTCCATTTCGGAACAAGAAAGCAAATGCAGCACTACAAAATGAGGAATACTTGGCTCAACAATACGGCAAATGAGAAGGATCTTGGGGTTGTTGTAGATCACAAGCTAAATATGAGTCAACAGTGTGATGCAGCTGCAAAAAGGACAGATGCTATTTTGGACTGCATTATCAGCCCATATCACTTCCATAACATGTGACATACTAGTTCTCCTATACTCAGCACTAATCAGATCTTACCTGGAGTCCTGTGTCCAGTCCCGGGCACCTAAGTTACAAAAAGATGCAGAAAATCTAGGAAGGGTACAGAGGAGGGCAACAAGGATGATTCAGGGACTGGAGGCAATGTTCTATGGGAAGAGACTCCGAGAACTGGGCATGTTCAGCCTCAAGAAGAGAAGACTGAGAGGAGAGATGAAAAGTACCTGAAAGGCTGTCACAAAGAGGAAGGACAACATCTCCTTTTGTTCATTCCAGAGTGCAGAACACAGTCTCGAGTTAAAAGAAACCAGATTAAGACTAGACACCAGGAAGAATTTCCTCACTGTCAGAACAGTACAACAATGGAACCTATTACTTGAGGAAGCTGCGGGTCTCTCTCACTACAAACATTCAAAAAGCATCTGAAGAGTCCTCTGACTTAGTGTCCTGCAACAGCAGGGGGTTGAACCCAATGGCCTTCTGGGCCCTTCCAACTCTGCTATTCTAAGATTCTATGAAAGGCTGTCATCTTTCTTGTTCTCATTTCTCATCTACTTGTTTGAACTATGGAGATTACTTGTATGTACCTGTTTGGCCTCCAGTCAGTGCATCTCAAAACAAGTATTACTCAGGTAGAAAAAAGGGGCAGAAAAGGGCAAATACTATTTTAGCTGCTAACTTGTTTAAAAATATACCATTTTAAAAACTTTGCATTTTTCAACAAATGTTTTTATTGTATGATGGTCATGTTTGGAACTGTTGTAAACTGTCCAGAGTTAAATAAGTAAATAAGCAAAGGGGTTTTTCTACATAAGGGTGTTAATCTCCTGTATCTGGGTTTGTTGGAGAACTGCACTCTGAACCTTATAGGGTCTGTTGAAAGAACAAGAAAAATTGCTTCTGCCACTTGACGGGCCCCTCCCATTAACTACCTGAGATGAGTGTTTTCCTCTTATAGCCCCAGGAGTGGATTCAATTTCAGAGAATGCCTTGAGGACGGCAAAAGTGTAGGCCAAAGGTAGTTGGGCCAAAGACAAAAGGTTTGGGCCAAGATTGCCAAAATATACCATTCTGTTTTTACCAGAAGCTCTGGCTATCTAAGAGGAACCATTTCCACTTTTGTTGTTGTTGTTAGTCACGAAGCCGTGTCCGACCCACAGCGACCCTATGGACAACATTCCTCCAGGCCTTCCTGTCCTCCACCATCCCCCAGAGTCCACTTAAGCTCACACTGACTGCTTCAGTGACTCCATCTAGCCACCTCAGCCTCTGCTGTCCCCTTCTTCTTTTGCCATCTATTGTTCCCAGTATAAGGCTCTTCTCCAGGGAGTCCTTCCTTCTCATTAGGTGGCCAAAGTATTTGAGTTTCCTCTTCAGGATCTGGCCTTCTAAAGAGCAGTCAGGGTTTTTAGAATGGGGGAAAACTTCACCAAGGCATGGAAGCCATCCAATGATGACCAGTGCGGGGGAAAGGCTGGGACAAGGGCAGGGACATGATCAGGGAACATATAAATAGAGAGAGAGCCTCTCTGATTGTGATTTTCAGGGTGTAGCACAGCTTTTGCTCCACTGCCTGCCAATTTGCAGACCTGGAATTTACACAAACGCATTCATACATGATTGTGCAAATTTGTACTCCCAGAAATGTGTAAATCAACCAAAGAAGTGCAAATTTTAACACATGCATTCATAATTGAGGGGGGATACTTGGTGATACTTTTTTTAAAAAATTACTTTTTTTCCTGCATCTAAAAAGGGGCCTACTGGTGCATTTGCCCAGCATTGGAAAAGTGAAGAACCACCTACTGACAAACTGATTTTAAAAAAGATCTTAGACTGTGCCAGACTGACTTTGTCTCTGAAGGAGAAAGAAGATTCAGACTTCTATCAAACTTGGAATTCCTTTTCTTACTGGCTAGAGAAACGGGACTATGCATAGATTTAAATATGTTTATGAATTACCATAAAAAGAAAAAGTTTGGGGGGCTGACCCAGTAGTCTGATGTTTTTTGATGATTGAGGATTTTTTAGTTTCTTTCTGTTAGCTTTGTTAGTTAGTAGAAAATAACAGTAAAACTTATTTAAAAAGGGGTCTCCTGGGCCATCTAGTCTGACCCAGTTCCCTCAGTTTTGCCTCATATGGCTTCCATTGCAATCTGGCCACTATCCTACTGGCCCCGTGCTACACCAATTCTAACCTGGCTATATCATTCTTGTAATGCAGAGCCCAGAACTAGACACAATACTCCAGTTACAGGCACTCCAGAGTCATATAGAATGGCAGTAATACCTCTCTTGACACAGAAGTCACATGTCTGGTTATGCAACCAAGGGTGGTGTTTGCTTTATTAACTGTCACGTCACACTGCTTCCTCTGGACATGATTCTGTCCTGCCTCATTGCACAGCTGCAGCAACCGTTGCTCCTAGGCAAGCCAGCAGGTTGGAATCAATATTCCTCTTAGATAAACCAACGGCAGTCTAGAGAAAATGGGGCTGGCTGAAATGAGTAGAAGAACATGAGGGACTGGGTTGGAAAAACCAAGGTATGCATCTTTAAATGCTAAAGGGGATATTTCAGGTTGGCAAGCAGATGGCTTTTATGTCACTGCCTTATAAATCAATAGCTGATTAAGTAAAAAGAAAAGCTACTCACAGGATTAAGTGACAGAAAGAAGTCATTTTAGTGATGCACTATTTGGAATTATTGCAATATAAATGGTGCCCCACAATGAAAAATCATGAAAGGACGAGCTGGCTCCCCTTCTGCTGTGTTCTGAGCAGGATGGCAGTGAAGTAATAAATCCTTTTCATTTGTTTCCATTCAGGTATTCCCCACTCCTGCATTGCTATCACCATCTTCATATGGGAGAGAGATATCTGGGACATGTGTACAAACACATCACTTCACATTAACTGACTTTGGTGCTAAAGCTTGTATTTACCTGGTCTGAAACTGAATTATGTCCAACTCAGAATGCTCACCTCCTGTGTGGAATGAGTGTTCTTTTCCTGCACCTGCTTTCTTGCATCAGTTTATAATTTGATCTCAGTTTACAACCTTCCCTTCCACCCACCCCAGCCCTTTGAATGCTGCTATGGCAATTGCCCGGCTTTGAAGAACTACTAGATGAGGTCTATCATGGTGAGTTGAGTGCACTGGGAAAACTAAATTACTAGGGAACCCAGCTCCTGGAATCTTTCCATTGCAGCAGTACCAGAGTTGCCTTGTGTCATAAGCCAGAGTTCCTCCTTTGCACATTCAAAAGCTACAGACAGTTTTCTTTGCAAAGTGTTCTTTATTGACCAAAAAAGCACAAAGCACTCAGAATGAACCTCTTAGCATGCACGAAGTAGTTTATTGAACCCAATCTAGTTCTCACCTCCAGTAACTCTCCTTATGAGCATACCTGGGCCCCACTGGGAGGGGGCCTTCGGAAAGCTAGCACGATTCCTCTCTGCATGCCAGTTCTCTAATTGGGCCACCTTCCTCTCTGACATCATGAGGTCAAGAGCTGGAGCCACCCACTCTGTGTCTCAGAAACTCCCCTGCTCTGAGTGCCTTCCCACCACTTGGTCATTCCCAATGACTTCCTGCCCACCTGGAGTCCGGCCGTGAGATGAGCATTTCCGCTTCTCTCATCTCAGTGTCTTGTCATGGCCTACAATCCCACCCCACCCCACCCCACCCCACCCACCCTGTTCTGTTTCATATTCTGATTCTGATTCCTCTGAAGTCCATCCAGTAGTCCTTGAGAACAAGCACCTAAAGCAACCATCTTTCACACTTCCAACAGAAAAACTGAAACAGAAAGATCTCTGTCATAACTGGCCAATTAACTGATTAAAACATAACATAACTGGCCAATTAACTGATTAAAAAACAAATGTCTTTGATTTAGTGTCTACAAATCCCTGATCAACAGGACAGAAGTCAAAGCTAAACAAAACAAAACAGAAGTCAAAGCAAAGCAAAACACATCTTTGTAGTAGAACTTTTGCAACTTGTGGGGGGAAAAATCTTAGAAAAAATGTGTTTCTTTTTCCGTCTCTATTTTACTAAGGAAGCAACACCTCTCCTTTTTATCACAGACATAAAATTTTACTATACATTAGATACTAAAGGAAAGAGGTAATTGCATTCCGTCAAGTATTATATTCCTACATTACTTGGGTTGGAATAGTTCTGAACATGATGCAGAGAAGCCTTCGTGATTGTCAGAGTCCGAACAGTGATGCCTTATGTGGTTATCTGAATTGCGCAGATTGTGTCTACTATGTCTGAGGGATGCCTGCTGACACCTTTAGGCTCTACCCCTGTCCTAGGGCACCCTGTAGTCCCTTGAGTAGGGATTGTCTATTCCATTCTCCTGAGCGGGGACAGCAAGTCAGGTGTATAACTCTTTCCCTCAGCTTCCTAATCTCCCCTGGCTTTGAACTGTACAAACTGCAAAACTATGCACTTGGGTTATTGAAATCGCTTTTACCTGTTAGAAAAACTAAAAAGGTCAAAACTTTGGGCACATCATGAGATGACAATGCTTCCTGGAAAAGCAAACATGCTAGGGAAAATTGAAGGCAGAAGAAGAAAAGGAAGACCTAATAAGAGATTGATTGATTGATTGATTGACTGACTCTGTCAAGGAAACTTCCACCTTGAATTTAGAAGAGCTGAGAGGGTTGTTATGGATGAGACACTTTGGAGTGCTTTTGTTCGTAGAGCTGCCACAAGTTAAAGACGACTTGATGACCCCAAACTGCTACATACCCTTGATTCCTCAAAATGCTCTGGTGGAGTCCCAAACCTGTTTGTTGACTTCTCGACTTCATCAAGTGTGCAGTGTATTCCACCTTGTGCTTCACATGCTCAGAGCTCTGAGCTTCACAAGCTTAGGCTGACTACCTGGTCCATGTTAACTCAGTTAAAGCTTGGCAGAGCAAGGGACCCATATCCAAACACATCTCATTCTATGGCACAGTCCCTCCACATTTGCACAGAAGGTCCCTCTCTGCTGGATGGGATAATTTCCTGGGAATTGTATTGCAGTATTGTATTAAAGTATTGCAGTTTTAATACTGATGAGCGATTAACAGTGCAATCCTATACAGGCTACTCAGAAGTAAGTTCCATTGAATGCAATACGAATTACTCTCAAGTAAGTGGATATAGGATTGCAGCATAAATCTTCATACTCTTTGGAGAACTAGAGAAGCCCAGCTCTTTGTTCTAATGAACACACCATTGCTGATAGTGTCAGTAGAGGCAATTTTGCAGTCGGAGCCTTCCTGAAATGCATGCCTACATTTAGTTACAAATGCTGAATATGTAATAGCAAACCATAAACCACATCACTTGGTTTGATTACTGGACTGGATAGGTATCATTTTATGTTGGAGTGTCATGGCATTTGTCAGGAAATCAAAAGTTTCAATACATTTGAGGCAATAATAATAATTTATTTCTGTGCCACCCAATAACTAAAGTTCTCCGGTTGGTTCATAACAATTCAAAACAAGTACAATAGTAAAATAGAAGATAACATACAAATACAATACTAATGTGTACAGACAATAAAATACAGCATAAAATTCAAATAGAAAATTTAAAGCAGCTTAAAATACAAAAGCAATCGCCATAAAAATGAGGTCCCTTAAAACTGCTGACATGTCCTTTTATATGCCATTAAATGCCTGAGAATAAGCAAAGATGAGGTCTTCCAAATGTGAAACAACAAATTACTATACCTGGAAAAGCTTCTTTTTTTTTCTTTTTTTGGTGAAATGCAAACACCACCCTGCTTGCTTGGCCTCTTTTCTTAGTCACAACTCCCAAGAGTGGAAATCAGCAGACCTGGCTTATTCTGCGAGATGAATTGCCATGAGATGCTATTTATCAAACTTGGAATAAATCACTGGCTGAGTTACCCCACTCCAGGTCCAAGCAGGAGATCAGTAACGATGTGCAACAAATGTAACTATATGGGAAGCACAGTGCACACACTGGCTCAGAGTCTGCAGAGCAGAGGGAAGCGAACCATTTTTCACTTTGATTGTGTTATTAATCCCTGCCTGTATCCCTCCAGCAGGCCAGAAGCTGCTCTGGATATCAGAGTCAGTGGTATGTATGAAATCTAAATCGTATCCCATGAAAATTAGCCTCTGGAACTTGATAAGGAGCTGGTTTGGGCCCAGAAGAGAGATTCTGGCCAGAAACAGATTCTAGAAATGAAACCAATGTGCATGTCATAATTGAAATGAAAAGTATTGTAACAGCTTAGGACCACTGGATAGGGGAAGCTGGTGCACAAGATAATGAAGCAAAAGTAAGGCACATACAATGACTCTGGACACCATGTTTTAAGAAGGACATGGCCTATCAAGCATATTTAGATGATGAAGGATTTGTAGACAAAATCCTATGAGCAATGGTTGGAAGAGCGGGGAATCTTTAGCCTGGAGAAGGTAGCATTAAAAAGAGATATCATAGCTGTTTTTTAAGTATCTGAAGGGTTGCCATCATGCAGATGATGAAGAAAACATGTTTTCTGTTGCTCTAGTTGGCAGGACTATGATTGATGGGTAGAAATTGTAAGGAAGCAGATTAGAGATAAAAATTAAGAGAAACTTCCTAATGGTGAGAGCTGTTCAATGGTGGAACGTTCTGCTTTGGGAGATGGTTGTCTCTCTTTTCCTGGAACTGGAAAGCAGAAGGAAGACACATCCTGGCATCTCCCATCACCCAGAATATGGGAGGCCGATGGCCCTTATGCTTTGGAAGAAGAGAAGCCAAGTTGTCCCATCCATCAGATACAGGAAAGGCTATGGGAAGGGACAGAGCAGCAGAGGCTGAGGAGTGTGAAGAGTGGCCAGGAAACTGGTGAAGGCAAGGTAGGAGCTTGGGCAGAGGATGGGGGTGGGGTAGGAATAGCAGAGACGAAGGGAGAGGCCCAGGAGGAAGAAGAGGGTGCGGGACCAGCAGACTCTGAGGTCTATAAAGCTGCACTCAGCCGATAGGTATGTAAGGGGTTGCCACATGCAGGTGGATAGAGACCTGTTCTCCCCTGCGGAGGAGGGCAGAATGCATTCCAATGGAGCCAAGCTCAGGGAACAAAGGTTCGATTTGGATGCCAGGAAGCACTTTCTGACAGTCAGGACCCCGAGGGTGTGGAATGGGCTTCCACTGGAGGTGGTTGAGGCCCCATCGGTGAGGGTGTTCATGGATAGGCTGGACGTGCACATGGTGGGCATGTCGTGAGCGGAGCCAGCTGAAGCCAGGGATCAGACTAGATGGCCTAGGAGGACGCTTCTGACTTTCTCTGTTACAGAGAATGAACAGGTATTAAACTCACAGCTGCCATTTTCAGCAACAGTAACATGTTTGCCACAATCTCTAGTTCGATCCTTTAGAGGAAAGGTCCCAGAGTTGTCACTGTTTTTGTACTCATTGTGTTTAAAGGACTAAATCAACTAAATACTGTGGTGAAGCCACAGCTGTTGGAACTGTTTTGTTGGTGTTATTACATCTACATTCCACCCGGCTTATTTATATAAGCCATCCTGAGGCTCTGCGAAAGGACGGCATATAAATATTCTAAATAAATAAATAAATAAATAAATCTATATTCCCTCTTGCAAGGTACCAAAAGCTGCTTACAGGGTCTCCTCTAAATTTTATCCTCCATTTTATGTACTCAGTCCTGGAATAGCATATTTATTAGCCATGTTTATACTCAGTTTTCTCTTGTGAAAGATTAATAATGTATGGTTTTGAATTTCATGAGTTCTCTAAGTGTCATGAGCAAGAATCCAAAGAACCGTCACTCATTTTTGCCATTGTTTTAACATGGTGTCATTAATTTATTTCATTTATTTATTCAAGCTTTTATACACTGTCACAGTGGCCACATGGCTCTCAGGACAGTTTATATCAATTTAAAATACGATTTTAAAAAGACATAAAAATCCATGTAACATTATAAAACAAATTCAATAAACAAGACCGTTAATTCCATCAGCAGGGACACCAACCACGCTGACCTCATACAGTGTCCAGGCTTGGATACATTTTATATTTTTGAAATATCAATTACAATTTTAAAATTCATACATTAGAATACTGACTTAAAATTAGATTAAAATTGTCAACAATTAAAATACTCCAAAAATGTTAACAAGTCTTTGATGCTGAGATGTGTACAAGGTTAGTGCCAGGTGCACAACTCTGAGGAGCCAGTTCCAAAGATGTGGCACCACAACTGAAAAGGCCCTACCCTGACTGGCCACATTCCTAGCTTCCTTTAGAGGTGGGTCCCAAAACAGGACCTCCAATGACAGTCTAAGGGTCCAGGTAGGCTTTTATGGATGGAGATATTCCTTTAGAGATGAATAGCAACAACAACATAAGTGCAACAAGAACTTACATCCAAGTAAATGTACATAACATTGCACTGTTCCTGTGTCGGTAGCCCCATTATGTCCAACTTTCATGTCTCAATTCAGAGGCGAGCGTCCTGCTTTGTTAAACCAGGCTCAGCATTAAACCAAACTAAGGGGCAAGTCTGATCAACAGATGGGGTCAACAGCACAGTGTTACCAGCCCAGAAGGAGAATCCTAAGAGAAGTGCCTAAGGCATGTCCAAGGTCAAAGCACAGGGAAACCAGGAGGGCCACAGGTTACCCACATCTGGTATGGAAGACTGGATTCACACATAGTCATACTGAAGAGCAGAAGTCAATTGACTGTAAGCTGGGACTAAGGTACATCCTCTTGGTTCCAATTCATCTATGACTGTTTTTCAAGTGTCTTGGAAAGAGCATCTGAGAACTTGTTTGCCTCTAATCAGCTGAGAGATTGTGAGTTCATGGTTGATGGGCAATCTGATTCAGACACTCTCAACTAGCTCCAGTATTTTGTTTTGTTTTGTTTTTGCTTGAGGAATTGCAAAATGACTATCTCTGCCACACATTCCTTTCTGGAAAGAAACAGTGTTCATCATGGGCTCAGATTCTGCATGTTATTAAATGAATTTACATTATCTTTTACCCTTAGGATTCTGATGAAATTAAATGTTACAAGTATTTTCCATGGGAATACACATTTTAAATTCATAAAGGGTCCATGTAAAGGAAAGCTTTTACTTTCATATGCTAAATAAGCAGATATATCCCGTCGCATATATTTTATATATCTGTCCTCAGCAGTAAGGTCTCCTTGCTGTTTACCCTTTTCTTTTTTTATTTTGTTCCTGTCCTGAATTTACAGGGTAAAGAGTAGAGCCCAGTCTCTGCTGAGGATTGCATTATCTATCAGTGGCCACCCAACATTTTGTGGCCAAAGCCAACGCCCCATCCTGCCCTTCTAAAGTCAAGGCAAGAGTCACAATAAATATCACCTATTGCTATCACTCCCGTATGAAACATAAAGGCAATAAATGTACAACATGTGATCTCCAGGCTATAAATCTATTTTGAAGAAATTGAACAGAGTGGCCCACACATCAAGTGCCACTCGCTGCATCCTTTTCAAAATCCTCCTTCCCTAAAGCAGGTGGAACACTTTCCAGGGCTGCCTCACATCGTGTCCACCAACAGCTACTGGAAGCGGCATAGGTTTACCTACAAAGGAAGGCTGTCCTAAAAGCCCCATCAGGTGGTTGGTTCTGGCAGGGAAACCTGCCCCTCAATCAGTAGCTCTCCCTGGCTGGGCATTTCTGTCGTCCATTTTGGGGGCTGAGCCTCCCTGTTGTTGGGCTCAGCTAAAAATCCTGACTCATCAGGGAAGACAGACAAAGTGGACTTCATAACACCAACTAATGAGCAAGTGTTTGTTATCAGAGTTCCATGACCTAACTTGCTTCCATTCCTGCTGGGTGCGGTGCCTGTGGGAATATGCCAGAGTTCCCTGTTCCCCTGCTTCTTTGTAAGTTTCATGGCTGCAGCTGGACTTACTAGGATCAGAAAATTTGGTGCTGTTTATTGAAAGACTTC